ACAGCCGCGTTGTGTTCCTTTATTCGTGTACATAATTTTCTCCCAGTTTGTCCAACGTAGAATTTGTTGCAATCGTTGCAGTCGATTTGGTTCATCACATTGTTACTCTCGGTTTTCGGTTGGTTGTCCTTCGGTCGAGAGATGATGTCACCTCGATTGGTGATGAAACGTTTGCAATCAAATCTCTCAGCTCAGTGAACAAGCCAGCGACCATCTACGCTACCTGAGCTACCGACATTTTTCTCTATAGAAAAGCAGTAATATATGTGTGATGGAAATACCCTAGGTGGTTTCTGCTTTCCGACTCCAACAGTTGGTCACAAAGAACCTGTGAGGTAAACACTAGTCCTGTCTTATATTGCGCGGTAACACCAAGATCTTTATTGACGAAGGGTTTTAGTATAATGACCCCGGAACAATTTATGGTATCCGGTTGAACAGTTCGATTGTGACACACAGTTATGTTCTTTAAACTTAGTCAACTCACGCAGTTTATTCAATTCTCTGAGGAATGAAGTGTAACTATTAAAAATCAGTAATGGTACTTTTATCCATCCTAGTGCTTTTCAATCTTTTGCCAAGTTATTTTTCCCACAAAACTGACATCACAAGCTATTTTTCGGCAACGATGCTTTGAAAGCCATTCATTGAAACACTTTTTTTCTTGTCTTAATAGAACAAGATAGAAAAGCACTACTAAAAAGTATCATTTTTCATATTCCTAAAAATTTTGCTGTTAAACTAGATTAAAAGTTCCCATAATCTGCGTGTGATTCTTTGCTTTCCCGCGCAATTTGACTACTTCCTGTAGGATAGTCAGTCAACATTTTTCGTCGTCAGAAGAGTGACAGTTCCCAGAATACTTGACATACAACAAGAAATCCGGTTTAACGGAACAAGACCAAGCGATCAACGCTCAAACAATCGTGCACAGTGACGGAAGTTCTGATCGAGGGGCTGAGTGAGTGAAGCGTTAGCGGATATTCCAAATGTTTATCCGGGTACGCTAACTAGGTGTCGAGTTTGACAAATTCTATTACCCGAAGACATCAAGGAAATCTCTATTTCTCAAGTTACCAAGTTCAAATGTGATCCCGTTGGAGTAAATTTATGCTGATCACATAAATAAAATGATGTTGTGAGTAAAAATGGACCATCATCCATGTGGTGATGCTTATCGGTTTGAGTTCCGTTATTTGTTTTTTTTTATAAAATCATTATACTGCTTGATTGCTGTTACTTAGTTGGACTTACTGGTGAATGTCGTTAGATCTTGTCTCCGTATGGAAGGTGCCTGCCAAGGGAAAACGCATGCAGGAGATAGTGAACTTCCTTAAAAAATTATAAATCGTTCAGCTGTAGCACCCTTTTGGTGCCTGGCTGCAATGCAATCCGAAGGGAGTACGAGGGCTGAGATACTTCCAGGTTGCCCAAACCCAGTCAAAAGAAGTCGAGAGGTCGGGTTCGAAACACAGACTGGTCAATAAATCCACACTCTAAACACTTGATCCCTCTCGCCCCTTTCTTTAGGAAGGAACTTTAGTAAATTACTAGAATCACTAGAATTTCTTTATACCGTCGGACCGATTGTAAGTTCGACAGCCTGCACAGCAGAAAAGGAAAGTACAATTCAATATAAGGTGTATTTTCCCGAGGAAAGTGAGGAATAGTCGGAGCAGAGATCGCTTCACCAAAGACAGACGTAGCATAATAATTTCTAAACCAGGCTCCGTGTGCTTGGTATTTAGTGTAGAATATGGCCATTAAACCGCAAGCAACATCTACTGTGGCGTAAAAAATTAAGACAACCTTATGTTTTCAATCAACTGGAAAATGTTTGGGACCGATTGGGAAGTCATCGTTTCAGAGGGGTTTGGTAAACAATCGGTGGATTTATTGCCTAAACCTCAGTCAATTTGTTTTTGACTCAATTATATACTCTCAGGAACGAGGTTTAGCGATGGGATCACCAATATCCCCGATTTTGGCCAACATGTACATGGAAGACTTCGAACAGAAAGCTTTAAACGGATTCGAGTGTCCACCAAGAGTGTTCTGGCGTTACGTAGATGACACGTTCGTTGTAATAAAGCGGGATAAGGTGAACGAATTCTTTCAACATCTGAACACATTGGACCCTCACATTAAGTTTAGCATGGAGCTAGAGTCCACATCGGGTACACTAGCTTTCCTTGACTGCATGACACACAAGAGTGGTGGGAAATTAAAAACCACTGTATACCGGAAATCAACAGATAGTGGTGCGGTCTTAGACTACTCCTCTGCACATCCAAAAGCAGTATATGCTAGCATAGCCTCAGCGATGTTTAGGAGAGTGAGAGCACTGTGTACAGAGGAGGTCGACCGAAGAGCAGCACAGCTCGAGGTAAAAAAGCGACTTCAAGATGGCGGATACCCAGTGGGTTTAATTAAGCGACAACTAAGACGGGTATTGGTGCCAACACCAAGGCCCAACAAGGAGTGGATCGGAACAGCGGTCATTCCATACAAAACAGGGACATCTGAAGTCATTAGAAGGGTACTGAATACGGCTAACATTAGAGTAGCTTTCCAGAAGGGGAAAACTTTACGCTCGGTGTTGGTGCATTTGAAGGATCGCCTTCCGGTTGATAGGACTAGGAACTGTGTATACAAAATAAAATGTAACGACTGTACGAAGGTTTATATAGGTCAGACAGCCAGGGAATTGCACACCAGAATCGGTGAGCATAAGCGTTCCATTAACAAACCACCGAGAAACGCAGAGGAATACCAAGCGTTAGTCAAAGATTCAGCAATGGCAGGGCATGCTCTAGACACTGGGCATAAGATAGATTTAGAAAATGTGGACATCCTGAGACGGGGTTTAAGATTCACACCACAGCGACTGGTGGCCGAGGCGGTGGAAATCGCCAAGCATCCCAGTGTGAATAGAATAGAGGGGGTAGAACTTGCAAACGTGTGGAGAGCGGTCTTAGATCAGCCGAGATGACACGAGGCGGTGTGCAGTTATCAGCGAAATCGCCTGGGTCTAAAAGTACAAAATCCAAGTAGCCTTAGATCCAATTAACCAGCCCACCCCCATCCCCAAACTAATTGTCCCAGCACCCTTGGACGAACACAGGTGAACGAAATCTGTGAACGACCCCAAGAGGAATTTTCCATTAAGGTGTCCTAGACTGAAGAATCAAGGACGAAAAATCCGGGTTCATCATAAATACGAAACCCCCCTAACCAATCTATCGTAAATCTTAGTCATCCCCACTAATCAACAAACAGGAACATCAGACTGAACACCCAGCACTGATCACGTCACTAGTCATAAGGAATCTCACGGATTGGTTCCCCGACTGCCTTAAAACCCAATCAGCCTACTTACTTACTCACTTGGCCTGAGGAAGCTTTTGTGTCAAAAGCGAAACGTTGCCCAGCAATAAATCCACCGATTGTTTACCAAACCCCTCTGAAACAAACTTATGTTATTTAGCGAATATACACCCATTTGCAAACTAATTTGGTTCTTTCGAGAGACTCACCTGGAACCCAGCTGAATCTCTCGTTTTTGATGTTCTCAGGCAACTGAATGTGCTGCACCAGACCGCCTTATGTTTCAGTCGCTACGATGTTTGAAATATCGCGATACATGTATATCTTTGTAGTGCACTACTCATAAGGTTGCTGAAAACCCGTCCACAGCCCACAACCAAAGTAGTTTGCAAATGAGTGTATTTTCGCTAATTTCGTGCAAGTTGGTTTCAAGTAAGACATAAGGTTGACGGAAACCCGGGGACTGCGCCTACCTGACCCAAGACAAGAAGGGCGAAACTGGTCGTGGGCTGTCGATATTTTTTCGGCAACCTTATGAGTAGTACATTAAAAAGATATACTTATTTACCTCTGTCCTTATGAGTAGTACATTAAAAAGATATACTTATGATATTTACCTCTGTCCAGCCCTAAATAACAGGAGTATTCAGAACGAATGAGAAATAGGGGAAAATTCTTTTTCTTTTGTTTCACGTAATCACTTTTATTGAGACCGTGACCAAACGTGCGTCAGCTGAGTTATCTAGGGCATCACGACGTGAGAACAGATTTGTAACCATTAGGGATGCTATTCAGGACATAGATATGAACGAATAAATCAAGGTAAAATGTTCAGCTGCCCACGAAGAACGTGAAACCGGAGTTTCCTAGCTCATGCAGGTTACACATATGATGAAAATACAAAGTGGAAGATTTGAACAGTAGAAAATGATAATCCGAACAAATTTTAGGTTTTCGAGGTCCTTCAAGGAGCATTGGCAACTGCGGTGAGCAGTTTGAAAGCCAGAGGGCCATGAACTGAAAAACTGACACAAACGTGTGTGTAGACGCGTTAAGTGTACATTTTCAAATTCTATTTGTTCTGTTGCGTCTATCGACGTCGCAGATTCCCACAAAATCGTTTTAGAGCGGACGGCACTAAGCTTATTGGAAGAATCAGCTCCGAACGTAACGGGACTAGATATCAGCGAATGGATTAACCGTTTTTCGTTGAGACAGATCTCATTGGTTGTTCTTCATTCGTCCTTGACAGATGAGTTGTAGTCTTAGTACTTGACAGGATCAATAGAGCAACTGGCTCGCACGTTCGTTGACTGTTTCTGGTTTGGTCAAGCGTACCAGGCGATCAAGCGGCTATCCGGACTAGGGTTCACGGTAATAAGCAGGCATTAAGGGACTATGGTCCACAACGCAGCTTTTTACATCATAGTGACGACAAAATCCGTATTGCAATAAAGTTATGCAGATTAGATGTTTCTAGATTACCCATCAACAGCACTCTCTTATCTTCTGTTGAAAAAGTGAGAAAAAATCGACAGATAAACACTCATTTGCATAGCGATTTGTTTTCCACGCCAAAGTCACCCAAAATCCCATCTAAGCTGCTCTCACAGAACCCGCTGCGTCAGACTGCCTCGTGTTTCCCTTCGCATGCTGTTGAAGATATTGTGCAGACCTAACGCACTTCTCCTAAGGTTGTTGATTATCCCTCAACCCCCAGTAGACAACCAAAAAGACTATTCCAGATGTTTTTGCGTATAATTAGCGATCTGAAACAAAATGGGCAATTTTCTCTTCGTTGCACGAAGTGGTGATAACTCGTACCCCCCCATCGTTAAGTGTTCGTTGGACTCCAACGTAACAGCGAACGGCCTTGCCCATTTCACTGACCAGGTTGTGCAACACTTGGTCAAGGGTGGAAAGTGGAGGACCTCAACACAGTGCACGCTGCATTAATTACTTCGCCGATGTCACTACGACAGACACTTTGGAAGGAGAGGGAAGCATCGAACATGATAGAAAACGAGGACTTGGAAATTCAGTGGGCAAGAGTTTGCGGCACTTTTGGACATAGAATTACAGCCTCCCGTTAGTTGCAAGCACGCAGAACAACAAAGTAGCCTATGAAAATAATCAATGAAGCACATGTGTGTCAGGCCAACATTAGCTTGAGAACAGAAACACTGTTGGAACTGACTCGAATCGTTTGACTCAAACACGTTAAGTTCAACACGCGGAGCATCGATATTACACTCGGAAACTCGCTGGCCTTCGGAGCAGAGGACTGTGGTACTAACCCAATATCTGGCTTGAGTTTACGAGACTTCACATGAGGCTCCCCTGCACGTCCGAAAGAGGCATTGTGTCGAAAATGCGAGCTGTAATTCATCGCGCTCCAGTCGTTGGTTTGCGGGAGAATTTTCCGCAATGTCATATTGTTGAATCTTACTGAACACAGTGACATTATACTACTTAACTAAGAGTATGTAGGCAAGGATTCACAATGGTAACTCGGGCTTCAAAGTTCCCGGTCATGAGACTTTTCTAGTGAAAAGTTATTGAGTTGTGTTGAGCACAGTACAGTAGTTTGAAAGAGCTGCCAACGAAGATCAATATGGTTGTGTGACGGGAGTAAATCTGTGGACTCATTGTCTACCTACAGGCCAGTGCTGAATTCACTGTTAGGAGGCTATAGAGATCCAGACCACATGGATCCCCAATAGCGATTGAAGCATTGTCAAGTAATGCTATCAATTCCACAGAGCAAAAGGAATGACGAAGCACAAGAGACTGGCGTAGGCTGGTCATGATGGCCAAAATATTAAACGACCTTCAGGTCACAGCAGTCTGGAGCAGATGAGTACCTAAAGTTGGAGAAATCAAAACAATGAAAAGCATAAATCCACTCACGGATCACATGAAGAAGCCTCAAAAACGTGCATCCTTCCAGTAGCTCCTCGGGAGTTTGCAGCTGGAAGCATTTACTAGGTAAATGCACATAGAGGCGAAAATATTTCCAGCGGGTTTCAGATGTCCGTTAGCGCTACCTGAGTGAGAGGGCCTGACAGGCAGGTAAATCGATCGTCACCAGCCGGACTGTAAGTGGTTGGTCGTTCGATCAGTCGGTCATACCAATGACATCGCTCAAGCGTGAGGACACTTGCCTGTTCAGACGTGGTGATAAACTTGCTTCGCAAGTTTGAACCCCGGCACGGATATGCACTGCTGATGAGTTCTAGTAGGAGTGAAACTCGAGTCCAATGCTCCATCTGCTTGTTGTGGGAACACCAGAATAATTGCTCCAGGACAAGAGGACAACTGTTCAAACACATTCGGTGACCCCCACAACAGAAAAAAGTCTATAATATTTGTGGAATCCTGTGGCAGTGAAATAAACCTACAAATTTAAACTCGACATCAGCACGTTTGACCTCGATTTCGAAGATGTCTTGCCAATTTCAGCCACGCTAAATGGATGGTTGGTAATTAAAAATGTTTTGCAAGATACCTTTTTGGCGATCAGGTAAAGCTAGGGGAAAATGGGCTTACGGATATGCGATCGGAAGGATAGTGGTAGGAGTGAATATTTCACAGTCGAACAAAGTAGAGGAATGAGCGATCTCAAGATGACAGTTCTCTGAGTAAATACCTCTCAGTTCACAGCGAGGTCGTTACAGTGAATAACAGGAACTGCTCAAGTTAGATTACTTCCGCAAGTTAGATTACTTCCGCACGGTCTAAGATAAATACAAGCGGCTTTTTGTGTCATGAATGAATCGGATTTACGACTGTTCACAGGCGAGTAGTATGTGTGAAAATGCACATGTTTACCGCGTTTTTTCTTTCATCTTTTCGATCCATCTTAGAGATCCATGTTTTTGAGTCCACATGCAGGTCAGATGTTTTCTAAACACGCACACACACACGCACCTGTTCCAATCTATTTTTGCAACGCTGGCTATTTTCTCCCGTCCCACGCAGCGCAACAAGGGTGATCAAGTTTCCGAAATTACCACAGCCATGATTTTACTGGTAATAGTACATGTTGGGATTTGTTAGCCTTGGCTCACCATGAAGCAACATATAATTTCGCCCCAGCAGGAACAAAAGCACTTTACTCTGAATGACGAGCAGCAATGCAAATCAAACCTGTTTTACTGAAAAAAGCTGATGTTTTTGTGGTTGAATGACAGCAAATTAAAGTTAGTTGTGTAAACATTTTTCGGGTGCGAACTTTTGACGCCACACACTCTTAGGGAAGCACAGTAAACATCAGTAACACTGATCGTAGTCTCCGGTTGATCGAAGGGGCGCATTTATCTCTACGAATGTCCCAATTCGGCGACAGGGCTTTCTGGATGAGCTCTGAAGCGGAGGGCTGCCCGAGACAGCCATATAGGTACTGTCAACTCTAGAATGTTGAATATAGTTCCAAGTAAAGTGCCGGATTGTATTTGATCAATACAGAATATCAAACTAAGTCTGCTGTTACGTAGACAGCCTACTGCAACCTCACCGACGCACGTTCCATTACAGTTAGTACACAAAACTGCCCGGGGTTTAAACTCGTTCCAGATGATCTATTGGAAATGCCAGTCACGCATGCTGTTCTAAGTGAACGTAACTTTTGTACGAACGTCAAGAATAGCTAAACAGAAATAGTAAATTAAGTTAAGAGCTGTATAAATATGCACAGATATATATATATGTCATGGACAATTTAATTGTTGGCACAGAACCAAAAAGTTTTGGTTTCAATCCAAATTATTTTTGTTTCACGATTTGTTGTTTGGCTTGGTACTTAGCTATCCACATGTGCTTTTATCTGTTCAGCGCAACTGAATGAGTATTCCGGTATTCATTAGGATTCTACTTATATCTCAGACAGGCCGGAGTGGAACAGCTCTAACTTGAACCGAGAGCTCACTTTGACCGAAGAATCAGGAAACTAGTGTCGGTAAAACTTGCCTCTAAATCACCAACATGTTATGTGGATGGATGATATCTTATCTGTTGGACACGAAATAAGTTTTGGATTTTCACAAAGGAAACTACTCATAAGGTTGCTGAAAACTCTTCGACAGCCCACGACCGGTTTCGCCCTTCTGCTTTGGGCTCATTAGGTGGGCGCAGTCCCCGAGTGCAGCACTTTCAGTTGTAGAGCATCTTAGACAAAAGATTCAGTCAAGTCTTTCGTGTAAACCGAAATGGTTTGCGAATGACCGTATTTCTTGAAAACCGTGCAATTTGGGTTCAAGTAGAACATAAGGTTGACTAAAACTCGGGGACTGCGCCCACCTGATGAGCCCCAGGAAGGGTGTCGAAGGGGCTGTCGAAGAGTTTTCAGCAACCTTGTCAGTAGTTTCCTTTATGAAAATATATGGCGATGTCTCGAATATCGTGCCAACTGAAACATGAGGCGGCCTGTGTGCAGCACATTCAGTTGTAGAATATCATAAACGAGAGATTCAGTTGAGTCTCCCGTGAAAACCAAACTGAGTTGCAAATGAGTGTATTTCCCGAGAGTTGTGGATTCGTTGGAAGAATGAATCATGAAATTAAGAATAGATTGAGAGTGACGCCTCGGTCAAGAGGGTGAACAGTTTGTGGTAACGAATCCACGAAGGTAAGCCCCGTTTACAGGCATAAGACTAACTTGACAACGATTGAGAAATATAGGTTCTATTGGGAAAATAGATTCGGTAAACTTGTACAGAAATGTTTACGTGAAAATGTTTAAGTGGCAGCCGAGGCGGTGTAGTTGGTGGCTGAACTGTTTCTGTAAGCCAAATGTTCTTTTTCGACCCGAGTACTAAATGACCTTTAAGTTTAGACTTTTGAATTTGGCCTTTGCTCCATTGATTCATTGATTCTTTTCATTACCCAACTGGCGCTATATCCTGGACCGCTACCAAAATATCAATGACATATCTACCAAGTTGGGTAAAGTACTCGACTGATCAGGATGCCTTCGCCAAAACCGATAGGTAAATTTCGCTGAACGGATCGGAACCGTTAGCAATTAACTCCGTTAAAATTTTATTGCATTGTCACCGCATCCTCAGTGTGCACGCTAATAGCAAACTGTTGAACACAGTCTAGACATTTGCGTGCATCCATACGCGGGCAAAACAGAATAGTATCAGTTTGAATCACTGCTTTGCATCGCTGTGTTCCTATTCATTCGAACGAAGAATAGAACAAATAGATTTGGCACCAGACTTGTAGACTACAGTCAACAAACCACAGTGACAAAACGGTAAGAAAACGTTCACAAGACCTGTCGTTTGTTGGGCAAGGATTAATTACCAAATTACTCAATTAATTTAACTAATTTCTGAAGCATCGTTTTTAGCGATATTACTTGATTTATCCACTTCTGTACCGAAATGTTTCTATCGCCTTATGAATCAAAATAACTCTTCCTGTGTGATGTCGAAATTCTGGCCAGTTTCAGGCTCTTTGATTTAGTTTGTCCGACTTTTCGTACTTTTTGTTTAAGAGGACTGATTGTGTAACGGTGATACTACTGATGGGGAAGCACGCGAGTAGTATGTGTTGTTTGTAGAATTTCGCTTTGCGTCTTTTGAAACGGGGACATCTGTTGCGGAATTTGACCGAAGAATGAGTGAAGTCAATGAATCTCCAGGAAAGTTCAAGAAGACGCGTTCGGGAGAAGATGGGTGTCCAGTTTTTGTAAATAAGATGCTGATTAGGTTTACTTCCCTGTTCAATGGTTTGTAACCGGTCAGTTGGCCTTTCCTAATAGATAACTCTGCAGTGAAGGCCTTCTTCCTTTCAATTGTAATCCAGTAGAAACTGTAGGATTGTTTATTCGCTCAGTCGGAAGCACTATAGCTGAAGCCGTCCAGGAGCACTTTGTCAGGCTAAGCCTGAGGGAAGCTGGCATGATATCCTGGATCGTCAAGATTCAAAGGCCACACTGCCGATGATACCTCGCGTCTTGAGACGGTCGTTAATCGAGATGGCACACGCAGGATGAAACAAAACGTACGACCAAGTTCGGCTGAGGGCCTATTGGACGGGGATAAGTACTGAGGGTTGTGTGGTGGCCTGTAAGCGGTGCCACCCGATGAAAGGGGAAAAGACATGGGCTACCAATCCCACGGAACCAATTCCTGTCTCGGTAATGGACGAGTTATGGTCCGTTGATGTTGTCGGCCCATTTCGGTGACAGCCAGAGTAATAATGATAACACCTGTCGTGGGCGTCGAGGTGGCAGCCGTACCAAATCGACGGGTGCAGACGATCTGTGGAATGATCATGTGTTATATTATAGCCAGACGGTTTGGAGCTTCAAAATGATTCTAATGGATCAGGGGCTGAGCTTTGAGGTGAAGATTTCAGGAGCCGCTTGCAGCAACTGGGCACCAATCAGCTACGGACAGCACTGTATCATCCGCAAACAAACGGTCTAACCGCTGAGCAATGCACCTCTTCTAGCATGGGGTCACAGCCTTTCAAGGAATCTTGATTGTTGCAGTCTCGATCTTGCAAGACGGTTTTTTGCACTGCCTCTTCAACCGATATATCTAAGCCGAGAGCAATTCTGAATTTGCCTAAACGGGAGAAAAATAGATTACAGGAGTTAAAATACTAGTAATGGTATGTACCGCTTTGGCAATGAATTCATTTTTCCCAAACTGTGCCTTTCTGATAAACGTTTTTCTATCGCTTAGCATACTTTGGTCGTTGCTGTAGTTTTTCCCGCGGCATTCGTTACCAGTTCCAAAGTCTGTTATGAGTCGCTTCCAAATAAAACGTATACCAGTAAGTCATCTGACAGCAGTAACCAGACATTCTGCTCCGAATTCTCTCAACTCCACAAAAAGCTAACATCATTTTTCATCGACCTTGTACAACGTTAGAAAGTTTCTGGTTTGAAAAACGTGAAACAAGTGTAGTCCGTACGCACCACACGATCAGAAGATAGGTTAGAGTTGTATCAAGTTGGCGAGGTGCTGATCTATGAAAGCCGTTTTGCAGAATCCGTTTCGTCTTGTCCGACAGTAACTCAGAACCAGGTTTGTCTACTGAGCAGATGTACTGGTTCAATCACAGGTAGCGATGAACCCTTCAACCCTGACCGTTGATGGTCCTTTCATTGAGTTCGGCCGAAATTCGCTATGGGTGACCCATAATCCACACAGACAGTTGGCACATTTCAAGCCTTTGTACTTTTCGCATTCCGTATTCCAGTGAGGTCTGTCTGCTCGACTGGATATCAGAGTATTCTCATCACACACGATGACCGATAATCAAGGGTTACGAATCTGGAAACAGAAAAATAGTGAAGCATAAAAGGGGTGGGATATTGGGTCACGTCAGTCTCAGGGTTTTGAGGCAGCTCGAAACAAAGGGATTACCCACGAAACATACGTGGCGCAGATAAGAAAATATTTCCCATGACGAATTAGCTCCTCTTTTGACAAATCCTAATTCGAGGAGCCGATAAACACGTGAGATCGATTCCATGCTTGCAGAATAAGAGGGGATATATCCCGCCGAACCGCGAGTTAATCACGCTACAATTCACCACCCACAGGACAAATTTAGCAAAAAACGTTTTCAAATATTTTCATGCCATTAACAAAAACGAAATGATCGAACTTCTGTCTGGGAAACTACAGGCGTGTTTATATTTCAAGTCATCCTCCACTTAGCACTAGACCTTGCTGATCAGTGATCTAAATTCCAGGATGGAGATTCACCTGAGTAAAATTTTGAACAAACAAAAGAGGACAAGTTAATGAGCGACATGTGAAAGATTGAACGAAAGTTGATTTCACGCGAGAAAAGAGTCGAGGCATTTTTCTGAGCAGACAAAATCTTTGTCAGGTAGATCAACGGATATAAAATTAGACAGCACGGGAAACATAAATCACCACGTTAACCCAAGCGAAAGGACGTGAAAAAAATAAACTGAGGTAGTTTTTTCCGCATAAAAATTGTCGAGTTACGATCGAAAAGAACGTTTTTAAATCAAGCTAAAGCGGAAAATTGCATTAAATTAATGACTGGGGATGAAGTTAAACAAGTGAGTTACAAGGTCCACGAAAGCATCACTTTACTCACATTAAAGAGCTAACTTAAAGGAAAGTAATAAATCGATTAAATGTTTCTAAAGACGTGAAGGCTTTAGCCAAACATATCTGGAAGAAATTGTCCAGGTATCTGGACGATTATCAATGTAAATCCTCAAATAAATATGGATGGACAGCATGTTGACTATTACCTTGTATCCATCTTCAGTCGAATATGCTAGACGACTGCAGTGCGCACCCCTTGAAACTCCAAGGAGGCTCAAACCTGGGACAACTTGACTTGTGTATTAAACACTTAGACTTTTGGTCACGAAGCGTCCATTAAAACTCCAAAATTTCACACTAAAAACGGCGAGAATGTGCAATCGGTTGATTCCACTTCCACTCGGATCACAGTGAACTAGCTACAGATATTTCCAAAATATCTTCTTCAGAAATGTCATATTCTGTTCACAAGACAGGAAACAAGTATAAAATGGTTTGAAATTTTGTCGAATCTCCAGTAGTGTACCTGGTGAGTGATTGTCGAATTAGTGAACGTTATCAATGTGTTTTATTCCCAGCGTTGTATTAGTTCTGATTGCAGTGTGACAGATGAGGTGAATGCACGAATCTGCAAGGCTCGGGCCGCGTTTGTTAACTTGAGACACCTATAGCGTAAGAATGGTTTATCCCTGAATCTGAAGGGGCGTGTGTATGAAGCTACAGTACGGGCTGTTTTCTTGTATGGCTGTGAGACTTGGCCTATTCGAGCAGCGGACCTGAGACGTCTTCAGGTGTTCGACAATCGTTGTCCCAGACCATAGCTCGCGTGGGTTGGTGTCGGCGAATCCGTAATGAGGCAGTTAGAAAGCGTGTTTTCGGTTGTGTAACGGGTACTTCCATTGAAGAATGTGTCCAGCACCAGAAGCTGCGTTGGTTGGGACATGTTTTACGCATTCCAAACCATCGTTTGCCGAAGAGTATTGTTTTCCATGCCCAATTCGGAGTGGCGTAAACAGAGAGGTGGCCAACCCTTGACTTGGCAGAGGAGTATTAAGGAGATCGCGAAACGCTTAGGTGCTGTCGGTGCTACTCGCCTTCCAGGATGGGG